TGACTGTGCTGAAGATGGAGATTGAGCAGGACCCTTCTTCCCTACATTGTAGCCTCTAGGCATTACTGATTTGGTGCTGAAGCTGGTATTTTCTTCTCCTGGCAGCTCCACGCCCTCCGGCACTGAATCCAAGCTGATGCTCCAGCCCCCTCCCCTCCGGCATTGTTCCCAGGCTGTCGTGTCAGACGCAAAACAAATACTCAGGGGCTCAGAGCTCCTTGCATCCAAGAGAAATTGCATTTTCACACTGGCTCTGAACCTCCTCTGCAGAGCCAAAGCAAAATTAATGCGGAAACTAATCCCTTTGCCCCTACCACGCACATCCTCTTCAATGGTGGAGCCAAGAAAGACAAGAGAATTAACCTTTTCTGTATATTTCTCTGAGGTAGGAAATACCCTGCTTTTCACTTTCTCTTCTTCCTCTTTCCCAGTTGCTCCATCAGGGAAACCAGTCTTCCCTGGAGCAGGAAAGCACCTTCCTCCTCTTCCCACTACTGATGAGTTTATATTAAGAAGAAATTTCGTACCTGTGCAGGATTGCTATAGCTAGTCTTGGCTCTCTATAGCTATTAGCTAGACCAAGTAGGTGGCAGAGCTTGTTAGAGTAACTGCCGCCCACTCAGAAGCAGCCAAGAATAGCTGTAGCCTCTCCTAGGGATCAAGTATTCAAGTCTGGAGCTCCACGGGTCCCTTCCTGTGACGCATATGACATTACCATCATAGCCATGGGAATATGCTACTGTGTGAAACTAGACACAAACATCTGGAAATGAGGGTGGCCTGTGATGCTGAACTGACAAGAGAAGAAAGGGCATCAAGGTTTCTGGTCTCCCCGACTTCCCTCTTTTCAGGTGTCACAAACTCCGATGCAGCCTTACGCACTGTTAACGGGTCAGGCAGAACCCACCGCAGCCCTCCTCCCAGCTAGGGACAGCTTGCGCCAGGAACACTGCCTCTTTCTCCTTTGCAGTGACTCATTAGCACATGTTCCCGCGCAGGCTCCTGGGCTGTCCAGCTAGAGAAGGGAGGCACCGTGGTGGTGCTGCGGAGCCTGCTGTGGCTGGGACTGACCTTCTACCATGTCCCAATGACCAAGCAATACGGCTACGTCTACTTTGGCACTGGCGAGAAGAACTTCGATCTGCCCTTCATGCTGTGACTCTCCTGTCTGGGATGAGGACTCGAGAATATTTAGATTTTACATTTAGGACATTTTTGTTTACTGCTTGTTCTAATAAATGTGTGAAACCTCTGCACTTTGAGCAGGATTCTTTTGTGCCTGGACTCTGGCCCTGATTCTTTTCCTAAGACTTCACCGTGTGCAATCCTCCCTCAACTCCAGATTAAATTCCCTGTAATGTGTCACTGCAGATCCTTTAGATGATAGTAACGAATGGCATTTTCTTCCATGATGGGTGAAGCTCTAGGTCAGAAATCGAACCTAGGCCATCTGTCTGATTACAAAGACACCACACTTGCTTACACAAAGACTAATTTGGAGACAACATCAATGAATGCCTGCTGACACTCATGAATGACAAACAAAAATAGAGTCAGAGTAGAAAACTGATGCATACTGTAAGGGATCAGTACTAAACTCTGAACTCCAGAAAGGCATATTGAAGAGAGTATTTTGTTTTCCAGGTGTTAGGTTTCCCCAAAATTAGAGGGGTCTTTCCAGTTTATGGCACTAAACTGTAGAAAAAAATTAACTGTGGGCATCACCTAGTCTTTTGGAAAATGTGCTCCTTCAGGTTCATCTCAAGGCAACGGTTTAATCCAGCTCCCTGGGCTAGAAGAAAGAAAAATCTTTTCCTTTCTGAAGGGCTGTAGGTTTCAAAGCTTCATAAAATAGAGACGGTCGGCCAGAGATTTTATCTCGGTATAGTTAATGAAGTCTTGGCTCTGTCTCCCAAAGCAAAAAGATCTTGGCCAGCTCAAGGGGCTGAATGTAGGGCTTCCATTTCACAAAGTAAGGCTAAAAAGAACCATTATAATCTAATTTGATTTCCTGGGTAATACAGGTTTATCCTTACCCTTTGTTTCTGTCCATGCCGATAGGTATTAGCGGATGATTCTGATGAAAGCAGTACACAGCTAAGTGGCATAGTAGTACATAAAAAAGCTGTGTTGATTTGTGGCCTTCAGATAAATATCAAAGAAATGGAGCCAAAGCAATAATGACCCTGATGATAAATTTAATGAGCCTTTCATACCAGCCCATAAGTAGCACGTCTCAAGTAGCAGTGGTCAGTAAGTGGAAGGTGCATACACGTACTGTAGAGGGAGAGAAATGGTGCCGCCTTTTAGTTACAGGATGGAAAATTATGCACATCTATCAGCCCCAAACTATGCCAGGAAGCAGCCATATCACTAACATGGAAGACTTATGGCAAATGTATTTGCAAGGGGAAAAAAACAGGCCAAGTCATCAAGGATGTCAACATTCTGTATTTGCTAGATCCAGGAGTGAAGCACAAGCCAGGAATCCTTAAGGGGACACGTAAGATGCACACGTGCCTGTCTGCCACTGCCACAGGTGTTCTGCTGCAAATTATGTGTAGTACAGATTATAAAAAAAATTCATTTGAGTAGTCATTAACAATTTCTGTTACTGCCAAGGAAACATAGTGCTGCAGGAGTCTTTTTCTTCCATCAGTATCAGTACAAAAGCCCAAATGAGGCAAATCTGAGTTGAAACACACATTAATGGGGAATCACCATTCATTGCTGGAAAAAGGAGGAAACATCCTTTTCCAAACCCAGTCATGGACCATAATGAAACAAAAGCCTTCAGATCCTTTCTGGCTTTGAGGTAAAAGTCTTTGCCGCCTGCTTTCTCCAAATCATTCTGCACACTGAACTTCGCTTTGCTGAATCTTGTATTTAGCTCCTAGAGGAGCAGATCGCAGCTCATTCACTGCAGACAATATAGAGTACTATGACAGTTTTGAATAAGAAAATTGCAAAAAAAGCAGAACAGTGGAAAACAGCTGTGCTTACTGACTATGCCAGTTCTGGCCACTAGTGGTTTAAATAGAGAGGCTTGTGTGTATATTTGACATTATCCTTCAGCAAAGGGTGTCCGACTGGCATGGGTTTTTTGCACCACTTAGGGCCCCTCTTCCAGATGGGCTTTGCAGATCTGATGGACCAGCGGGTCAAATACCTGTCAAAACAACGCAAACGCATTTCAGTTTGAGACTGATCACTGAGAAAAGGTTCCAACTGAAGCAGGAGCAGGCACTGTAGCCTTTGCCTCCCCACGTGTCTCTCTAGAAAAGGAATAATCGTGAGCAGAGCTCCCTCAATTCAGAAGGGACCACTGGAAAGGAATTTTTGTTTGGTTTGGAACTTCTAAGCTGCACCTCTGTACTGAACCCACTGGCACCTGCTTGACTTCCAGTCTCACAAAACGAATCAGGTGTAGTCTCTAGGCTGCTGGCAAGTTGTCCACCTGTAGCTAAACTGGAGTGCCAAATCTCTGCATTGCAACTAAGTCCAAGACTGAATGCATCCAGCCTCTATGGGAGGTGTGATTTCAACAGCTGGCCTCAATAAGGTAAATTAATTACAAAGGCTAAACTCTGTGAGAAAAAAAGTCTCTAAAAAGGGATTAGTTTACTTTCAGAGGATAATCGGTTATTTCTTCTGCATGGGATGGGTTTTTGGCCTAGTCTTGTATTTCATATGTCCAAATTTGCTTTAGTATTCTCTGTACAATACTATTGCAGCTTGCTGGTGCAGGAAGTCAGAACCTACGATGTAAGAGGTACTAGAATGGAATTATCATCACAACTACAAATACGTGTGAAGAGCAACGTTTGGCAAATATCCTCTGCTTTTTACCATTTGAAGTTTTATATTTGGCTTTGCAAACAGGCAGGGGATTTCAGATCTAGAATCAGTTACTGGAAATCTTACCCTGTGGCTGGGTGGCCTGGAGTTTTGTTAGGCTTTAAATCTTTTGCTACTAGTAGAGAGGGGAATAGAGGTCCTTAGAGAAAGAGGAGTCTTTTCAGACAATAAAGATCCAAAGTAAAACGCTAGCATAATCTGCACAAACAATGCTCCAACAAATTAGAATTTGGAACAGACTGATAAACTTTGTCCAGCGATGTTTGCATGCCTCTGTTGAGTAATCCCATGGTCTTAATGTAATCTCAGTCAGCCATCCTCTCCCCAAACAGCTTTGTTACCTTTTATTTGCATTGTGCAAATTTGAGGTATTAAGAACTTTGGACAGAGACCATGTAATGCATTTGTTTGAAGGCATTTGGCATATTCCTGAGAACTACAAAGAAAGCTTGCTGTGCCAGGCAGCTGCAGACTGTGTAACAGCAGCCCATTTTCCTAGCAGTTTTTTTCCTCAGCAATCCCAAACAGCACAGGTTGAAAAAGGAATCGCATTTGGAGGTTCCTGCCACTGAAATAAGCTACTTCCAAAACGCTTTGCTTTTGCTTTGAGGAGTTTATGATAGTTAAAAAACTCCTAGAAGCAACGGTAGGAGGGATTTCGGAAATGGCGTAGAGCAAGATCCAGCCACTTGTTCTCCTATGCATGCATTAAATTAGTCCCTTTTGACCTTTAATGTTATGCTAGTGCATTAGTGGAATCCCTTACATAACACCATCAGGACAGGAAGAGGGAGAGACTCTCCTCTCTAATTTCACGTGCAAGGGGAGTTCAGAGAGTCCAGACGCAGGTCCCCAGTTTGGAACCTGGCAAAGCACCGTGGCAAGGCAGCCCCAGCTGTATTTGACGGGCACATGGTGCTAGGTCCTTCTTTTCACATTCCCCTTGCTCCAGGGGGAGGTCTGTAGTGCAAGTTTTGGTATTGCAAGACTTCACTCACAGCGAAGGAGAAAAGAAATCCCAAATTGTTTTAATGCATCAGTGTGCCAAGTGCTGTTCTGGTCACGTGTCCACATGCTTACGGGAAAGTGCTCCCGTGATAATAAATGATCTCACTGGGAGAGAAGTGAATGTGTGAATGTGAGATACACATCAATGCTGTGTGCAGGTTTAGACAGACAGTGGCTTTTTAAGAAATCCCTCTGTTTCTGTGTGGGGGCTAGAAGTGCACACCCCAATTCTGCATAGGAAGGAGGATTTAGTAATGGCCTGATTTTAAAGCTTTTGTTATTTCTCTTTTGAGCAGGTCTAATCCAGCCCTCTGGTCCAGGCTTTTGGCTTCCTTTGGGGACTGCAGGCTGGGGCTTTTCATTGTTAGCTGAAACAGACATTTGGACGCTTTCCCTTCCTGGAGCACATTTGCTTTTAGCGCTTTTAATACTTGCTTTGTCCCAAACTCAAACTTGTCCTATTTTGTTTGCTGCCTTTTTTTTTTACCTTGATTCAGCAGTGGCAAAAGCCTGATGCCTGGGAGCAGTCAGTCTACAAAATTCCTTTTCCTCTTTGACTAACTCCAGTTCCTACTGTTTCACAGACAGATATTTTTTTTTCCTGAGAGTAAAAACAATCCACAAAACTCACATAAGAGAGCTTCATAGCCCAGCACACAGGACTTTTCTGCAAACTGTGCTGTCCATGTAAGGTAGTGTACCCCCTTTTCTAGCCAAGTCACCCAACTTTCCATTGTATCCACCCACATGGTTTGTGTCAGGGAGTTCCTACAATAACCTACAAATACACACTGGCAGATGGTCTGAATTTTCTCAGTCTGAGGGTTCTGAGGGTTGTCAGGACAGAACCTCCATGTGGATGCCAAATGCAGCTGGTCCAGAGTCTCCTAACCTGTTATCAAGGTGTGCAAAGCTCTCACTCTGGACCAAGGGGGACAGAACTGCCAATCTCGGGGACTGGCAACTCACCTTGGGGCTCTGCTTGCCCCCTTAAGTATGGTAGGATCCTGGTCAACAACCAGAATCCCTAGACTCCAGCTGCACAAATGAGTAGTTTGGATAAAGTGTGATGGGAATCCTGGCGCGATTTCCCTGATGGGAAAAGGCAAGATATAAACAGGATGGAAACAACTGAAGTTAGTCACCTGCAGTCATTGCAATTGCCTAAAATCTCTGTGGCATGTAGAAGTCCGTTTCCATGGATTTTATTCAGTGAGCAGGAGGGCCCCAAAGCCTTCCCACTCAGAGGCTGCCACTTAACACCTAGGAATAGGCACAGGGCTTCCATGTGCTGGGTAAGGGAAATGACCTACCCATGGGGCAACTGCAGCCCTGCACGCAGCCCAAGCAAAGGCCATGTTGGTGCAGTTCAAGGCTGAACTTCTGAACCCTCACTGAACTTTTTCAATCTGGCTTTTGTTTGGATTAAGAGCAGAAGGCAGAGGGCTACAGACTGCAGGAAGCACTCGATCAAAGTGCTGGCAAGACTGCCTCCTCCCTGCCACATCCCTTCCCATGACACCTCTTGGCTTTGCTCACCTGCAGCCGCTCTGGCTCTTTGCTTTTGAATTCACATGCTATGCACAGCACAGTTTCCACGCAGATGAGAGAAACCACATGCTGCTGGAGTGAAATGCTGATAGTAGTGAAACCATATTCTGCTCCCAGGGACAAGAAGTGTCCACAGAGCCCGAGAACTTTGTAATTCATGAGGAGTTCATATGGAACCTGCCTCTTTCCTAACACATAGCAACTTCTTCAGTTCAGGTGATGGAGGAAGGATTGACTTGGATATTCTCTGTGCCAAGTTCTGTTCTTCCAGTAGGAGGCTGAAAATGGGAGTGGCAGCTGAGCACTCAAAATCAAGTACTCCATAATCTACAGCACCTCTCGCTGACAGAGACCAGACTCAGGGAACCTGTGACATCCCTTAGTCCTTTTGGAAAAGGAACAACTTCACAGTGTTGCGCTTTAACCAATACTTTGGACCTGCCAGAAGAAAATGAGTGCTATGTTGACATTAAGATAGCATCTCGATGCTGGCCTGAACTCAGTGACTGTTCTGGATAGAGTGTTAGTCCACACTATCCATGCGACAACTTCCATGCTGGAAAGAAAACTGCTGAGCTATTCAGGTTTCCATTCCTGAAAGCAAGAAGTTTGACCTGCAGCTGTGTTTGACTGTTTCCCAAATGCTTCTGGTGTGTCGTGGCCTGCACACACATGAATCTGGAATATGAGAACAGTCTGTCACTCTGCACAGTGCTGGTGAAATCCCCAAGAACTTCCTCGGCCTCATGGGCTAGTGAAAATATTTTGTTTCTGCAGCACTTAACTGGAACATGCCAGGCTGGAGCACAAATGGACGCAGAATAACAGCAGGAAGTTATGAAAGGGAAACTTCAGGCTGAGGATGAGGGAACAATCCTTGGCTGCAAGACAAATTTGCTTGTGGAATCATCCTTTGGAAACAGTGAAAGCCCCAGAGTGGGCCAAACATGAAAAAATGAACTGTAGGGAGTAATTCTGCATTGACAGGGGGTAAACTTCATTGGTTTTCCATGTTCAAGTTCTGCTGGCAAATGATATGGAAGACAGGGAGAGGACAGTAGACTCAGGAGGTTCTAGATAATGTGGGTACCCCAATGGCTATATTTCTTCAAGCACTCATAGCTAGCAAAGTAGTTAAGTGGTAACATTCATAAGCTATTGCTGTCAAAAACAAAGCAAAAAGGCAAAGAACTAAAGTCCAAGAAATAAGAGATATCATGGTAAGTCTCACCTGGACAGTGTCCCAACTGCAGGGGGTAGAAGAGAGAGCTGTGGAGCACTCCCCAGTTGAATTCTGACCACAAGGTGTTCTCACACGTCTCCTACCACCCCCACAACCACACAGCTTGGCTCAAACTGGCATTTCACTTTCACGTTATACCTTCTTCTGCAGTTCCCAATGTCCTCCTCTACGTTACATTACATCCTGGATAGGTGATCTCATACTGTGCTAGACAGTTGGATGACCAAGAACAAGGCAGGATCTGCAGGCCACTACTTCCCAAAGCATTCTGCTCTTCCTCTTGCATTCCAGTAGTAGAAACAGGATCAGGAGATGGAGTGGCTAGGGGGACAACAGCTACCAAGTGACCCAGTGCAAAGCAGGGAAATTCTTACCTCTCTGCAGAGAAATCTGTGGCATGTAGGAGGGAACATCCAAAGTTCATACAATGGAGACAATAAAACCACTTCAGAAAACAGAGCAGGGATTCTGCTTTTTGGAAAACATCACTGAGTAAGCACCAGAAGAGCAACTTCTGGAGGGGCAGAGCAGGCAGAGGGGTTCTGGATGATAAATCCACACTTCACATCACTAGATCAATGGCAGGGCAGCACCCCTGACCTTTGTTAAAACAAGACAGTTTGCTGATCGTTCCATAGGGTGGCATGTTACATTTTAATCTCAGCTAGGTGATAGCCAGTGCATGCCAGACACTTTGTATTTGAAGCAGGCTCATTTTAAACAGGGTGAGTGTGACACAGGGCAAACATTCTGGCCAAGATAGCCACACGTGCAGCCAAGGAAAAGCTGAGGAGCAGCTTTTCTGGTGCTCTCAAAAGTATACAGTAACACAGCTCCTCAGCCCTTCTTTATGTACTTCCTTAGCACCTTTGGCCAGGAGCCATAGAGCTCCTCCTATGCAGCTGGCCTGTACATCATCTTGGAGGCAAAGAGCAGAGACAAAGCAGTTTTTCATCAGGCTGGTTGGTCCCTCTTTTGGCAGTAGATGAAGCTGCTCTCAGAAAGACTGACACAACCTTGGAAGAAGCTTGGCCAAAGGGAGCATCAACCAGAACTTTGCAAGACTGGAGAGAAATGAAAGGTATGGCTCATCCAAATGAAGTAATCTGCCAGACTTCTGCCAGGCAGGGGTTGCTGCTCTGAGTCTACAGAACATCCACAGAGTCTACATGCAGTAAGTGAATGCTCAGGTCTGTATTATGGTAGAGGTGCTGGGCTCTGACTCTCACTTCAAGTTACACTCCCCACAATGAATCTCCTTCAGTCTCAGGTGGTGTGAGTGGAATTAGTCTCTAAGGTTATCTTAGGCTTTCATCTTGGTCCTGTCACTCTAGCAGCTGATGGTGGAGTCTAATGTCAAGAGCGCTACCATCAGCAAAACATTCTTCAGCTCAGTGTAAGATTTTCTGTCCCCAGATGGTAGAAATTCTTATAGAATTATGTGGGGTAACATCTGGAGCAGACAGTGATTTCTCCTAAGTCCCTCCTTTAAAAAAAGTGAAAGATTTCTCAATTCAGACTGAAGAGTTAGACAACAGACTGCTTACAGGGGGGCAATGAGAGGAATTTCAGGGCAGAAGGGGTGAGCACACAAAAGTACAGGTAAGACCGAGAGAAATGCTGTCCTTCAGCAGGGCAAAGCTTACTGTCACAGTCTTGAGACAGACTATATGCTTCTACAGCACTCTGTTCTTTTCACGTTGCACCTTCCTATTTTAGAACAGTGTAGCAGGAACTGTGCCTCCTGTATGCAAAGCTTTCTTCCATGTACAATGTAAGCTCCTGATGGCAAGAAAGTAAGTGAATGGAGGACATGTGACTGGGAATGGACTAAATTCTCAGTATACTGGATACTACTAGCCCACCTGTGAGAACTATCCACCTCAGTTTGCAGCCCTCACACAAGTTTGTCTCCATCTCTGTTCGCTGGCTTGTTTCCAAGGAGGACCAGACTGCAGCAGAGCCAAGGAAATGACACCTCTTTCACCTTTGCAAGCATCAGTGCACAGCAACAGGCAAGCTGCTGTGCCAGGATCCCTGGTTCCTTCACAGATCAGGTTAAAGGCCCCTCAAGCAGCTGGTTGCAATTCAATAGCTCCAGCATCTACAACATGGGCACTTCAGTGTGCTCCTGAAGTGTGGCTGGTGAGGGTTATTTTGGAGGGGATAGGGTGCAGAGGAGCATATTTCAACACCACACACACAGTAGACCCACTGGTGGAGCATGGAAAAAACCACCACTGCAGGCAGAGCTAGAGAGCACGAGGGCTGGCTAAACTGATGTTAAGGAATGTACATTACCCGTGTTCCTATCTTGGAAGAGCTTTAACAAGGGGCCCAAGCATATTGGGGGGCACCTCAGTTTCTCCCCATTGGCATTCCTAGGGCTACAGCAGCAGTGCAAAAAGGCACTGCTACCTCTCATTTAGGCAGAGAGGTGAAGATGACTAGAGCAGCCAATACAGTGATCTCAAGAAGAGCTGAAGCTCAAGGACTTGGAAAATAAATCAATCAACTGTGCAGTGTACTGCCTGCTATGATAGGCTCTCCGTACATCCTGTTTGTCCCTTCATGGACTGACACTTAAAAACCAAGCAGACACAAACACAGTGAAAGGACAGGCTAAGTTAGGTGTGCAGCCCTGATATTACACCAGACAGGTTTAGAGGATGACCTGGTCATGTTCTCATGGCACTGAACAAGGCAGCTTGTTCCACTCAGAAGTCCCAGCCCAATTTTGCCCCTGTCCTCCCCTGCCAGCTCACTTGCATTTGGCAGCACCACTGTTTGAGTGCTTCCCAAATTACCATGGACTTACAGAAAGCTTTAGAAACAAGTACAGAGGCAAAGACAAGGTAAGCTTGGACAAGTCATTTACATGGGAAACTTTTGATAAGAGCTCTGGCTTCATTCCCAAAATAAGTACTGGTTGAACGTCTTCAGCATGTGGGTACCCTTCAGTCCTCCCTTCAGGCTAGAGGAAGGAAGCAATTTATAGCTCCTGCCCTATGTGGTGCCAGCTACTGCTCCAGAGAGCAATGCAGGAAGCGCAGGTGGGGGTACGCACAGTCAGAACTCTCACAGAACCACAACAGCCAAGATTTCGCAAGGCTCCAACACGCAGAGCTTTCCCCTTCCAGCAGGCTGAGAAGACAGTATCAAGAGGGACCAAGGGAGCACTCCCGAAATATCCCTGCAGTCTATCCTGGATCTGGGACTCACTTGTTTAGTTCCAGCCCCACCACAAAAACTTTCAAACCAATTTCTTGATCCCATTCTCTTGTCTCCACTCAGACCCCAAAGTCTGCCTATTTCAGTACTGTTCCATCTCCTCAGCAACAGCTCTGCTCTCTTTTTCTAAACTCTGCTTCCACCCTGCTTGCTATGTTCCCTTGCTGGGAGGAGATAAACAAGGGGGTCTAGACTAGCAATGCAATAGGGAGAGCTTGGATACTAATCTCCAATTTAAATCTCTTAATTTTAGAGGTGTAGCACACCTACTTGCATGTAGAACATATCCGGAGGTATCCATTCTTTGTTCTCACTAGAAGTCTATGGAACAATTTACAAGAGTCGAGGCATTAGATCTGGAGTCCTGGTGTGATTCCAGCAAAATACAGGATTTACCATTTCCTGTCTCAACTTGCTATGCAGGGTTGTTATGTGCATGCTAACTAGATAATGTGCTCCACCCCACAGCTGCTAGATAGACACAGCTACAAAGAATCCCAAAGACTTGTAAGACACAGGAAAGAAGTTTTCAGAGTTGAAGTATCTGATGGCTACAGGGCCACATCAAATGTAGAGTCCTCTAATTTGATCCTCACTGATACCCAGTGTGCATCCTGCCAGTATCCACAGGACATTTCTAAGAGCTTCCCTCAAATCTCCACTGCAGAGGGCCAGACCTGAAATGCAGGAGTCTCCAGTCGCCCCCAGCCCTGCAGCCTAAGCTCTCCCAGCAACAGCCCCATGGCCTCTGGTAACCCCACAGCTTGCTAATGCGAGGTTCATAAACCGCTCTGACATCCCCATGGAAACAGAGTGTGAGGTCATAAACAGGGGATTAGCACCTCCAAGCGCCCAGCACAGTGTAGGAGGGGGCCGCAGGCTTTCCCTTCGCCCACCAAAGGCCAGGGGCCATTCAGGCCGGGGAGGGGGAAGAAAGCCTGTTGCACAGGAAGGGCAGGCGGAGGCGAATCGCTGACTGGGGAAAACAGGGATGGGGCAGAGGGGAACAGGCTTGTGATGGGCCCTTGCTGGCCACTCAGTCCCCCACTCACGGCTGGTACCCCTCCTGGGCACCCTCCTGCTGTTGCGGGCCAGGCACCAAAAGGCTAAGGGAGAAGGGATGGCTCAGCCTGGAGAAAAGAAGGCTCAGGGGGAGTCTTACCTATTTTTATAAATACCTGAAGGGAAGAAGTAAAGAAGACAGAGCCAGGTTCTTCCCAGTGGTGCCCAGTGACAGGACAAGAGACAATGGGCACAAATTGAAACACAAGAAATTCTGTCTGAACATAAGAAAACACTGTCTCACTATGAGGGTGGTTCCCTGGAACAAGCTGCCCAGAGAAACTGTGGAAGGTCCATCCTTGGAGATATTCAAAACCTGACTGGACATAGTCCTGGGTAACCTGCTCTAGGTGACCCTACTTGAGCAGGGGGCTTGGACTAGATGATCTCCAGAGGCCCTCTCCAACCTCAGCTACTCTGTGATGCTGTGACTCCATCTCTGTGGCATCCTCCTGTGACTGCCCTACTGACTGTTAGTGATGAGGAGGGGAGTGCAGCTGAGGAAGGGAGGGCAGACTCTAACATGGGAAAGACAAGATTATTCACCTGTTGAGCTTGGGTTTCTTGGAAATATGCCCTTCAGGAAGTGGAGGCCTGTGGTTTGGCAACAAACCTGAAACAGAAAAAGGCAGGCATGAGAATATTTTGCAGTGCCTCCTTGCCTCTATAGCATCCAGAAGTTACACTACACCTCGTAAGCCAGGCAACCCAGATCCCTACTGGGACAGCACAGCAAAAACTCAAGTACAGTAGAGAGGGTGTTTTATCTTTAGTCATTGCTGAACGTGCACCCCAGCCAAAGAGAAGCTAGGAGGTTCTGCTGGGTATAGAGAGGAAATACACACCAAAGACAAAGCCACTTGGGCTCATTGAAGAGGCTTTTTGAGAGGACATAGGGCACTGGTGTCCAGTCAGATTCCATCTCCAGAATGAAAATCTGACTATTAAAATTCTCAGTCCATTTAATTGAATACAACTCAGGTACCAGGCATAAAGATCAGCACAATACTCTGACTGTGTCAACCTAGGTCCCACTCCGAGGGTAAAGCAAAAAAGTCTTCACATGGCAGATGGTAGACAGGTGCATGTTATTAATGGGGTAGGTCAAGCTTACGCTAAATCAAGTGATTTCAGAAGCTGGTATTTAATCGTTAGTTACTAGAGACTGAGCCACTTCCAAGATCTTTCTGCAACAGTAGACTCATCTACAGGGATAAATGTCTGCTGCCAAGGCAGGAGCCAAGACACATAGAAAGCAGAACAAGTAGTCTCTGGTCCATCATCTTGTCCCAGCACTTGGACCATAAAGAATTTGCTGGGTGACTAGACAATGACATCTCACTGAGCTATACTAATTGGGTGGGAGACCCCTCTCAAGGGGTTCTATGGGTACCCCACAGTAAGGGGTTGTCTCAGGAGGAGGCTAGGTACCTGCACGGTGAGCCATCTGTACACAGACAGCAATCTTCTTGTGCTCCTCCAAACAGAGGCCTGTGGTCCTTCGTGGCAGCATCCCTCCATCAGAACGGATAAACTGACTCAGCAGCAAGACGTCCTGAGAGAGCAAGAGAAGGGCAAACCCATCAGTGCTACAGCTACTTTAGCTGCTGTGATTCTTAGGTGTTGTGCTGACCCTTGCACTGTGTACAGAACTCAAAACAAAGCAAAACAAAACAATGATTCCTTCCTACGCATTTTGGCTGCAGCCTGACAACAAGTGGCTTTTGCTTGCTGTCACTCCGCCTGCCAGCTTAGCTCAGTAAGGTCACTCAGATGGTCTGAGTCTTCCCCTGACTTCACTAGTGTAAACACATGATGTCAGCTGCAATCTGTGCTACTTCACTGTCGCTTGCTCCAAGATTCTAGCTAAGATAATGTGTCCTAGGTGCTCAGGCACAGTTACACAAGACCTACAGATGGACAGCATTTACACAACTTGAAATGCCATCACAGCTGCTATCCTAAAGGTCACAGATATGTTAGATCACCTCTGGCCCCCTCCTTGTTCCCTCAGAGCAGGATTGTTCTCTGCTATCTACTCCTCAAACTTTTATCCAGTTTCCCATGATGGAACTTCCCTCATGTCTCTCTGAGGGGTGGAGAGCAAAGAAATGGTCCAAGATCTCGCACGAAGAAGGTTTTTGTAAGAAAAGAACGTGTGCTGATGAGAAAGACCTAATAGGATACATTGCTGCCATCAGTCCTTTAACTGTGCGTGTATGAGGTGGGGCTGTTACAGCCATGCTGGATGGATAGAGCACTCACAGCATGCCGAGGGTTCATCTGTGATTCAAGAATCGTTTAGATTACACTGCTGTTGACCTTTCCAATTAAGAGCTCTAGAAATGTAAAGCACTCTTAATAAAAACAAAATTAAAGGGATCTCTAGTATCAGATAGTATCACAGAGCTGGGATGACAAATTTTTAAACACAGCAGCAACAGCTGTTGCACGAGTGTCCCATTAACTGTGCGCAGTACAACAGCCCAGTATTTAGATATGTGCTCTCCATTTCCACACGCAGCACCACCGCAAACGTACGCCTCAGGCCAATATAGGCAGGTCCCCTTGTCATGCTGACGTCAGCATAAGTTGGCCCAAAGGGCCTCTGGAGACTCTGTGGTTGCTTTGTCCCCATCTGCTGATAGACTTGTTGCTGGTTGAGTTTACTTTTCCACTGCTGTTGTAAACATGTTCATCGTTAGAGGTAGCTGGACCATGCAGAGGCTGCCTGCAGGCCAGAAGGGACCTGCCAGCAAGCATCCCGACAGAACGAGAGTTCAAACCAGGTACGTCAGCACTTTACACCCCCTCTGTCTAGGGCAACAGGCAAGAACAAAGAGTGCTTGTTGCTTTTCACATTGGGTGACCCTGACTCTGCCTGTTGTTCGCAGATTCCCAGACCTGCTCCCATCCCCCTATCTTTGCTCTTTTACAAAGAGCTCCCTGGAGCATTCCTAGCTTTATTTACTGCCCTAGCAAAAGCAAACAATCACAAGTGGATATAAAAGGAATATTCAGAAAACCTAGCTATCTAGGCATTATACATCCACCCCCACTGCACCAGACCAGCTCAGCTTAGAAGGGGGCTGCTGGAATTCAGTACGGCTTTCTGGTAATGACCAATTCTGACAGATGCTGTCATAAAAGTGCTACAGTCAAAATTTAGAGGTTTTTTATTTGTTTTGGGGTTTTGTGGTTTGTTTTTGTCCTTCCCCCTCCCTGCCTTCAATCCCACCCTCACTAATATCATCATGACACACAATTTCCCTCTTCCCTTATCTGGCTTCCTTTCTACCTCCACTTGTCTACAAAGAACATGTTCAGACTGATTTTCAGATCCAGCTCCTTTGAAAACATGGCAGGTTAGGCAACTTCTCAATGATACAAAGTGACTTATCAACCACCATACAGAGTGATGTTGTATCCAAAGAACAAGAAAAGCACAGATGAGCAACTACCAGCAGCTCCTGAGAGGCCATCTATGGTTAAAACAGAAGCAAAGTGTCTTCATCCCAGCTAACACGTGGCCCTGCCACTGAGAACAGCAACCAGAGGACCAGTTGGTGCCAGCTGCATTGGTGGAAACTGGATGGAGGCCAGCCAAATAGTCCAAGGGCACTGACTTTCGGCCCCTCCTGAAATGCACTGGATTGGATTCAGAAAACCAGCGCAATTCCATCCCCTTTTTCCCTCTTCTTTAGCCATCCAGTTCTCCAAATCACCAACAGCTCAATTTACCATTTAGCACAAACATATCACTTCCCTAAGTGAAAAAGGGCTGTTCAGCTCCAAGTGCCTAGAAAGAGAAAAACTTTCTAGATTTTTCTACTAGCCTGCTGCATTACTCTGTGGGGAAGAGGAAAAAGGGAGCTAATGGCAGGTTTCAGGCTGTTCCAGTCTTTGCAGCCATGAAAGCCTACGTAGGCCACAGGCTCCTGTGAACGGTGTGTGTGGTCCAACTGATTTCTCCTATTACCACCACGCCTCATGGAGTCACAGGCTTGTTATCAAGTGTTTCCATGCAAAGGGGGGAGGTGGGAAGCAAAGGGAGACAGTCTTTCTTTTTTTCCCTGTGGAAAAAAATCAGGAAAATCTGTTCTCTGTTATCATCTTTGATCAGCAGCGTCACCAACTGACCAACACCCTTGTGTGGCCGTCATTTCTTAACTGAAATCCTCTATGTCTGAGCCACTGCAGCTCCATATTACACTCATGCCGTTTGGCTTAAAATGCTGCACACTCAACGGAAGGTTTGTCCATTTCTGAAGATCCCCACAGTTAACAGGCCAGGTGACTCTCCCAGAGTACTCACACAGATGCTTCTTACCACAGGGAGAAAGCAGACAGGTACAGCCAACTTTATGGGGCAGCTGTGGAGGGAAGCGAACAAGTATGTGGAACGGTCAAAGAAAAAAATGTCTGGCAAGTTCTCATGGTGCCGTCATGTTCCATGAAATTCACATTTTGTGCTAGTGGACAGCCAAGCCTGTAACCACGGATTTGCTTTAATCACTGGACAGCTCCCATGAGGCTGGACCCAGATTCCCACCCCTGTAATCTGCAGCATTTGATGAAAACAACTTGGATTGAATTAATCTAGGGCTAATAGGCAAAGCTTGCAGTTTGGTTTCCCCTAATTGCTGCCAAAGCAAGATGACATATTTACTGCCTACTCAGACAAATGATGTTTGAAGTGGATAAGGGGGAAAACGAAAAACAAGTTTAGCCTGCACCTCTAAAAGGGCTGGATAAACTTGCTAAACAAAACACTATGTACAACACGTTCTTGTGAATGGATGGCAACCAAAATGCAGAAGCACCTCTGCATTTTAAAATCTGCAGACACTTTGAAAAGCAGGATCCTTGACTGGTTACATGCGATTCATTAAAACCTTCATTTACCGCAAGAAGAGTTCTGTCTGTGCAGCCAGATTACTACTGGGCTGTATCAGACAAGTCTGCCAGTCATTATTTCCAGTTATACAAGAGTCTAGTTTTTGCTTTCTCCCTTACTTCTGGGAGTTGTACACCATTCGCCAGGCATTTCATAACAGAATTGCAGGTTTCAATCCATTTGCAGTCTGACAATGACCAAAATAATTTTTTATCTCCAACGGATACAAAAAAAAAAAAAAAAAAAAAATCAGCTGAGGCCTCAGTTTCAATGGACAGACACAGACAGACCACAAACGGTGGGAATTTATACCTTAGGCTCTGTTACCCTGAGCCTCAGCAGAGACTAAGGACTGAACTGGCAAAGACAACTACAGCCCTCCACACCACAGCGGAGGCAGGTTGGAATCATGACCTGCTAGTGCTCACAATGCCCGTTCAGTTGATTAATAACTTTGGAGACATTGGTCCCCCAGTTCTCTGACAGCCCAAGTAACTCATTATGCCACTACTTTAGACTGTGCTAGTTGCACATGACAAAAGGAAAGTCCTATGAGGTCATATTACTCAGCTCCCTCAGGGGCTAATTCAACACTTCCCTTTTCATAGTGCCTCATTCAGTCCAATTACAAGTGTCCCAAGCAAAAAAGCTCACACTTTCCCTTCTGTGCAACTGACTGATCTCAGCTTATCAATCTCAAAGGAACCACTGTGATCCATCTATTCCGATCTCTTACCAAGCACAGATTATAGGTTATGCTGTATGAACTAGGCTGTATCTTTAACAAAAATAGCTGTTCTCAATTTACAGACTTTTAGGACAATTAACCACCAGTGAGTAAATTGTGCCACTGTTTAATTACTCACACAGTTAAATGCCTGCACTTTATTATTTAAGCATTTAAAGATTCTGCTACTCATCACTGCTGCAGCAAAGAAAAACACTAGAGAGCACTTCTGTGCAGAAAGGGGAGATTTTATTCACCTTAACATTTAAAAGCCTGAAAATCCATGACTGGTACAAAGCATTCAAACATATAAGGGATTTATTCAAGCAGAAGAGGTGGTCTACTCCAGAACTGAAATTTCTCCTAGTTCTCATCAGCCCCATAGAGGAATGCTTCTAAATACCAAGGTAAGTGGTATTTGTTTGAATGACCTCTTGTAAAGTTACATTCTGCATCTTCTATCTCACTTTTCTTACTCTGAAGTGTTCTTGACTGTTGTGCTTTTGTTTTAAAGCATTACAGGATTTCCCTCCCATCTTCTACGTTTAGTGTTAGTAATCCTCTCATTAGTTAATAAACTTCTCATTAGCATTTCTGGCAAAAAGCTTGAATCAAACTTATTTTTTCCGTTGCAAGGGATGTAAACACATATGCTCTCCTTCATATCCATCAAGAGTTTTAAAAGTTATATGCAGAAAGGAAGCTGACCACGAGAGATATGCGGCCTTCTCAGATCAGATGGCCATGTGTATATTTGTATCAGAAACAGTGTGGCCAGCAGGACTAAGTAAGTGATTGTCACCCTGTACTCCGCACTGATGAGGCCACACCTCGAGTACTGTGTCCAGTTTTGGGCCCCTCACTACAAGAAGGACATCGATGTGCTGGAGCGTGTCCAGAGGAGGGCAACGAAGCTGGCGAAGGGTCTAGAGCACAAGTCTTATGAGGAGCGGCTGAGGGAGCTGGGGTTGTTTAGCCTGGAGAAGAGGAGGCTGAGGGGAGACCTTATTGCTCTGTACAACTACCTGAAAGGAGGTTGTAGTGAGGTGGGGGTTGGTCTCTTCTCCCATGTAACAAGCGACAGGACGAGAGGAAATGGCCTCAAGTTGAGCCAGGGGACGTTTAGATTGGATATTGGGAAAAATATCGTCACCGAAAGGATTGTGAAGCATTGGAGCAGGCTGCCTGGGGGAGTGGTTGAGTCCCCATCCCTGGAGGTATTTAAAAGACGGGTAGATGTGGTGCTTAGGGACATGGTTTAGTGCTGGACTTGGCAGTGCTAGGTTAACGGTTGGACTTTATGATCTTAAAGGTCTTTTCCAACCTAAACGATTCTATGATTCTATGCTTCCATAATTCCAAACCTCCTATTTGATATGAGCTCATCCTTCTTTGTCCCAGGAACACCATCAGCCAAGGCAAACAATTACTATGTAAGAAGCTCTTGTTACACCCAAGAGAAGCAGAGATGAAGAAGAGTTATCTATCTTTAATACACTGAGCAAAAGACAAGAGGGGCGGGCTGTGCAGTATGTAGATCTGAGAGCAATATTTATCTAGCTGTGAGGATGGGGGAACTCTCCTTCATTAAACTTACCACATAATCATACTTATGCTTCAGGTTCCAGCGACAGATGGGACACTGGCCAGAAGGGTTTGGAGGAGTTGGTGTTTCAGCATCCTCTATAATTCTCCCTTCAATCTAGGAAACAATTCAAAGGATATAACAATCAGGCATAGTTTAGACCTCTACCTGCACCTGTGACTTGAGGAATATTTTTCCTCGGGTCCACAACATGTTGACCAGTACTGTGCAGATGTAAGGGGAACAGTATCTGCATTACTCAACTTGCTTATATATAGATATACCAAGCACTCTGGATATACACAGACTACGAGGAAAAGAACAAATCCAAGAGGCATAGAGAACCATTTGGTAAATTCTTGTATATGTTTTACTACATGTAAACTGGTTCATATTCAGTGTGAAGTTCTCATATTCGCCTGAACTCCATTTATTGCAGTACTCCTTTGAACCACTATGCCTTGAAATCGTAGTGGTCCTTTAGCCAAAAGCTTTAAAACACATTTTTTCTAGGAATATGAGAATGCCACAGAATAGCAGATGCATGTTGTGGACCAAAACACGCAGGGGCTTGCTATGTTATAAATCACCAACAGGGAAAATTCTGAGCAAAAGTTAAATTTAAGAAAGGACTGTTAGGAGATGCCTTGTGGTTTGTGGTTTTCTTTTTTTTTTTTTAAATACACCGATATTTTATCCAGTTTAATTCCCCGAACAATTCCTTTAGGAGATCATTTTATAATATTTTCTATAACACTACAAAGTGGTGACATCTAACACTCAAGTTTTCTCAAAAGTAACATGCAAAGAGAAGGTGTGTGGGGGAAAAACTTGAGAAATTTGTTTTCTAATTGTAGGTATGTTAGGAATATGAAGTCTATCTACATGTGTGCTTGTCTTTTTTTGAGGATGTATGAATAGAAGCAAGAGCTATCTCAAATTGCAGCTGAACACACAGAAAAGACAATAAAACTAAGCCATTTTTTTTTTCTTCAAAATATTTTGGAAGTTTCCTCTGGTCAAATTAAGATTAAAACCAGATTTTGAACACCAACTGACAGCCTCAAATAGCGCAAGCATCAGAGAGTTTAAAAACAAACCCTGGGTGGAATGCAATGTTACTTTTAAGAAACAAGCTGACTGACTTTGACTGAACTGTCAGGTTCTATGCCTGAAAACCTGGGAAGAGAAAAGCGCAACATTTTCTGTAAGTGTGCATGGGACACTGGCATCCAGCTGAACTGTCAGAACTATTTTGTAGCATTGATTGTATCTTTCTTGTCTAATGATGGCAAAATGGAAACAGATAAGTTATTTGTAGTTCAAGCATCTCAGTACCTCAAAAAAAGAGAATATTGTCAATTTTTAAGTAAGATTCCTCCCCCCCCCAAGTACAACAGCCAGTTTAAAAAAAAAAAATTAACTACGAATATAAAAATATAGGACAGTATCTAATTTTCTATTCATTGGTAAAGTTATTTTCTGGGAAGCTGGTATATCTGGTCTTGATTCTTGCCAGTCTGGCTTCAGACTGTATTGTGACTGTAATTCCATCTTGGAAATTAATAAAGATTCAGAATGCGATGTCAACATCAATTTTTCTTGAGATAAATGTCAGTGTACAGTTTTTGGCAATTATTCCCCAACTACTAAGGACTTTCATATTGTTAACCCACTCAGTTATTATTCTTCTGTTAGAGAACTAAGAGGGAATATAGGGGCTCTACATTCTTAGTATGCTGATGAAATCCAGATTTCTCTGGGATTCATTCATCTGGTTCATGTCAAACACTTCCTTCAATACTGATAAAAGCAAGGACAAATAGAAAGATGAGCACAGAAAGATGGATTCAGAAAAGACTGACATAGAGTTAGTAGGATAAATGGAGTGACCAGAGGATATGCTGACAAATGTATTAGCTCTTTAGTTGGTCAATTTACACCACTTGTTACAGGATTTTCCTCATCTAGGGGCACTAATGGATCCTAGATTGATGCTAGGATATTATACAGTAGAAATATCCAAATCTCCCTTATGCTTCTACAATGGGCCAGGAAGCATTATTTTTCTAAAGGGCTCTGCTACTTTTGGCAGAGGCAAAAAAGGCAATGCATACCTTTTTTTACTTCAAGTCTCAGTTAATGTATTAGGACCTTGCAATTATAATTTACATCCCCTTTGAAACTGACTGAGTGCAAGGTACAGCAATCCACTGTGTGTGTTGTGTTGGTGTGCACACTCCCCCCTTGCTTTGGTTAAAACAACTTCAGGGCATGCCTGCAAGCTCTTCTCTTCAGGTCTCTGGGCAAAGATTAGTAGTCTGGCACTTGAAGAGAAGAAAAAGAGGCTTTCCATCACACCTACTGTCACACCTAAAACTTATTTTTGTTGACAGTCTTAGAGATCTTGCTAACTGCCATATTCTATTTGATATTATATATCTAAGTAACCCACTCAGGTTTCAAATATGACAAAATCCACTAATACAAATACGACAAGAAGGAAACTCAGACTTTCAAAGGCATGAACAACCAGGTTTTGTCTGTTTCATTAGCAAGCAAAAAAAGTCTGTCCCCTCCTTATTATTTATGTATACATAGATTAGCATTTAGTGCACTCTCTTGTAGCTATTCCCAAATAATTTCTGTTCCACTCTTCTCATTGTATTTACACATTTCAAAATATCTGTGTTACCTGTCACCAGCCAAGGCATAGATTGCTACTGGCATATGTAATGTGAACAGAATAATGCAATCTCCTTTCCCTGCCCCAGTAATTTCAGTGCTTCTTCTAAAAAATGACAATTCTCTTGATAAAGTGCAACAGATCGGATGGTGTTCATTAAGGAAAATTGTAATTCTACTGCTTTGATTTTTTCCTTCCTGTCTTAAACTGTAGCTGAGAAAATGCTCTTCTTTATCAGTTACTTCAGAACTTCTGTTTTATTTTCACGAGCAGTCTTCCTTTATTATTTAAGGTCTTCCTTTGACAATACCCCTTTCACTGGAAATTTTTTCTTACCAAATGCATTACAAGGTGCAAGCTTTGTATCACCTGCAGTCACTATGGCACACACAGCGTTTAACAAACACAACACTCATCGAAGGCAAGCGACGTGCGTGGCACGCAGCTGGCACAGAGCCATCCTCCGATGCCACATCGCACTGTCGGCCCAGGGTGAAGTGACAAAGCCACTGGTCAAACCCCCTTCATGCCTGCCCACACTTGAGACGATGCCAAGTGTCGCTATTTTAAGATATGAACACATCTGAAGAACTGCCTCTTGCGTTTTGGGTCTCGAAGGTCTCTGGTCAGGGCTTCCAGCTTTACCAGGGGTGCGGTAAGGGTTTGGCGCTCGTGGGTGGCTCTGACTGGAGGCACCTGCCACCAGCGACAGGGTGACAATTCTGGCCTTCGGCAGCCAAACCCTCCATCTGACTTACCTGCACTCGCAACGCACTCCTACCTTGCTTTTGCCTTCACACCCTGGGATGCCTTTCAGGCAGAAAAGCGACCCTTTTGCCCTTTTTTTTTTTTTTTTTCTTTGGCGGGGCGGACATGGACACACATACACAACAGGAGGCTGAAGGAGGGACAAGCGACAGCAAGGGTGGCTACTGAAGAAAAAGGGTGCAGGGACTTACTGTGGTCGTGTTGCCTTCTGTCACCTCCACGACTGCAAAAAAAGAGATGGGAGGACAAAATGAGACTCATTCAGCCTAAAACGAACAGTATTTTTTTGGGGGAGAGGGTGAAACACAGTCAACGCAACCGTCTCTTCCGAACACGGTGAGGCAACAGGGCGCAGAGCAGCCCCCGGACTCACCCTCCCGGAGGGCTCGGGCCGGCGGCGAGGCCCAACCGCTCCCGAAGAGCCCGGTGAACAACCGCCTCAAGCCCCCGCGCAGCAAGCTGGGCGCCGCCATCTTGCCGTCGCCGGCGCTGCCGTCACTCCCGCTTCCGCCAGCGGGAAGGCGGGCTCTGCCGCCGCCATTTTGATGCGCGTCTGTTCCCCGCCCCTGTCACCTGGGGAGAAGGAGGAGGCGGGAGGCTGTTATTCCCCTGCCCAGCATCTTCCCCCGGGTTGGTTTTCATTATTTTTTCATTTGTTTGTCTGTTTGTTTTAAATGTGGTGTTTCCCTCCCCCGCCCCAGCTTCTGTCAGCTTGGGGTGGCGGTGAATCTAGAGGTAGTGCTGGCTTCGTGTTATGGAGGCCGGAGCTGCACTCCTGCCATGGCTCCTGAGTCTGTCCTGGCTCCCCAGTGAGAGGAAGAGCAAGGGGTGGTTTAGCTTAAAAAAATCCAGGAAGCAAAACTCATGGAGTGAAATAAAATCCCGTGGAAGTCATGTGCGTTGAGGGACATTCATGGTGTTCTATTCCATCAGTGGTCAACAGTGCTCATGCAAGATGTTCTGTACATTTTTCTGAGTTTCTAGCTACAATGTGGTGTAAAATACAAAGCATGACATAAATGTAAAATTTAATGTAAAATAAAATCTGATCTTCCTGTCTCAGGAGGTCATCCACCGCCTTCCTCTTGTGTGTTACACTTGCTTCTTGTTACAGTCCAGTTTGCAAATCTCCTTCCGTGGCAGATCTGAGCACTGAGCTCTGGGACTTTCCAAAGAAGTGGGAATGAAGGCAGGGCTTCTGTCCAGACTCCTGTGCTCTATGCCAAGCACAGGGCCATCCCACTTATTCAGAGAACAAATTGAGTAAGAATGCTTGCCGGAAGAGACCTCTTCCCCTCTCGCCACATTATGCTATATAATGATCTCTAGAAGCAGGGTGTTCTTTAGCTTGTCCAAAAGCTTAAACGTAAGAGCCAAACAAAATGTTTACTGCCATCCAGTCTAGGGATAACTTCCTTATGAGGAGAAGGAACATTGCTAGGCCCAGTGGTGTAGTGATGTCACATTTTACGAGTTTGGTTTTTTTTTTTTTTTTCCCTTATATAGAGAGTTTTATCCTAGTGGAAGGAGTTTGGCTGAAACAACCTGACAGGAGAGTTTATTCAGTGGCTTAAATTAAATGCAATTTCTTCTGCTGGCTTCCCTTCCTCTTGTGATGGGGAAAACTAAAGGGGTGACTCTCTTCATGGGATAGAAACCATCAGTTGGTAAGCACAGTGCTGGCTCACCATGGTAAAGATATGTAGACAGAGGGTTAGGGGCTGTTCAAGAGTTTCTCCATGTCATAAGACTTTTGATGAAGATACTTAAGCAGCACCACAGCTCTTGGTCGGACAGATAGAGGCCAGCAACGTGGTGATAGTTCAGATACAGTAAGTACTCCACTTGCTGTCCTCGCCTTCAAACAAATTCTGTCTCTGAAGTAATTTAAGTGACCCATCATTTAATGCAAAGAAGGAAAATAGTTGCTTTCTTAAAAACCTGCAGTTCCTGGGTTGAGCGAATTGCCTCTTCTCCCGAGATGTTTTCTTTGTGTTCTGAGTATTTTCTACAACTGTTAGCAATGCAGACCATCAAGTCCCAAGGAGACAAACAAAGAATGTGCCAATTTGAGTTGAAGCCCATCATCTCTTTCCAAGTTTGGAAATTTGACATATTTCTGATTTCTTGCAGATAATTTTTGAATGTGTTTATTTCATCAAGCCCTTGTATTCAGGGGAAAAGAAAAATAGCCCTGAACACTATGTCCATGTACACGAGAGAGAAAAGAAGGTGATTTTCTTTCTGTAAGTCAGTTCAGCCATGGTCTGATTTGTCGGCACTGTGGAGGGTTGTCCAGTTTAGATAGAACTGGATGTTTCCAAGGAATGGAATGGGATGTGACCAGCCATTGAAGAATGAGTCCTTTTCCTTTTGAATTAAAATTAAACCTGTGCTCCCGAGTGTGGGTCTGGTCAGGAGCAAGGGAGTATCATATTTTAGATGAGAAACTTATGTCCTAATTGCTTATGGCCTCTAGGGATTTTATGGGACTCTTCTCAAAGAAATGGTATTCCCTTGTTTGAACTGCTTTGGGATTAGACATTGTAGATGTGCTGTAAGGCTCCATTTTTCTTTTCAGATTAACCTGTGTTCTTTTCTTGTCTGAAAAATGGAATATGTTTTGCCATTTTTCTTATTTCTTATAACGTATTACTCTTTTCTGCTTCCAACTACAAAGAAACTTTTCTGGTCCTTTGGGCCTTTTCTACTCTGTTGGATGCTAATGGATGACATGTATGTCTGCTCCAGAGCCATACCCGTGCAAATAGCTTATGGAGGCTGAGGCTGTTCCAACCAAACATGATTAAAAGTCATAGAAATCGAGATGGAAAAAGCTATTAGGTCATGTAGTTCCCACACGCGCCCCCAGGACCAGTACAGGTTTGTTTCCAATGGTACATTTTTTGTGCTTTCCAGAAGGGGTCAGTACAGGTCAGTGTTCACTTTGCATCCAACAGCCTTCCTCCCTTCCCCCTTCTTGAAAAATTAGGAAACCTTCTGAATCTGGTGATGAGGAGGTTGCAAAACGTCTAGAATTTTTATTATAGCTTGTCATTTGATGTTGGGTGATCAAAAGCAGAAGAAATGTGTTCAAGTCCAACAATTGATCATCCAAGATTTTAAAGGAGGAAATTTAATGAGCTCTTCAAAATGACTTGTTGGCTATGTAAGTATATTAAATGCTACAGATCTTGAGAACTGTTCTGGGCACGCTCGGTTGTAGTGAGAAAGACACAGATTCATGGGTTTATCCTGTTGGGTAGTCCATACTTAGAGCATATTACAATAATATTTTATAGTTACATAAAAAATGTCTGGATAATGCAAATCAAATTTCTCACTGTAAAAAAAAAAAAAGTGACAAACCCCCCATATGTCTGAATAAGAGAAGGGAATAGCTAACAATCACGTTGCACCAAAAATGCCATTCATCCTACTCAACCACTGCGCTACGGAAACCTTTCTGAAGACCTCTCACTGTACCCAGTCCATTAGGGCGCAGAGGCTCCTGCAGGGTTCACCTCACATAGGCGAATCAGGTGTCCTGGTCGAGAGTGGCCACAGGCCCGTCAGCGGGAAATGCCTGCCCCTTCCACACAACAACAGCGTACCCCAAATGCCTGTGTCCACGCAGAAGTGACAACCAGCTCCTGAAACAGACTTTAGAGGGTGGAGGAGAAGGATACTGGGACAGAATAATTCAAAGTGTGGAGGAGGATGAAAAGGTGGCTGGAGATGGTAAGAAGGAAAAGAGAGCAGGGAGAGATGGCACTCTGGTAGGAGAATGAGCGACTCACTTGAAAATAACTTGTTTATATTTTTAAGGTTTTCTTATTTTCCCAGTGGATATGGTTATTTTTCAAAGTAAAATAGCCAAGTAATAATTTCATTATGTTTCCTTCCAAGATTTCAAGCTAAGTGTAAACAAGAAAAATCCAGTGGGAAAATTAATCCAACTTCCTTTTTCAAGAGCACTTCAGGTCTGTTTCTCCCCCCGCCCCTCTCCTTATGTGTTTTCACTGCTACTGGTCTTATACACAGTATCTGTGGCATTGCTGACACCAGCTGAAATACCTCAGCGATGGCATTTGTTAGAGGGGGAAACCTTTAGGATCACTGAAAGTCACTTCTGATACAGAAATGATAAGTTCAGAGTTTAAAAAATATTAATGACTTTTGACATTTTGGGAATGTTCCATGTGGGCAAGTCAAAATGATGGAAAACAACTGAACCACTTGCACTGAGATTTGATCTCTGGCAATTAATATTTGTGCTGCATGGGAGAATCGTAAGAAACAAAACCTCTGTAACAACACCATGGCAATCAGACCGGCAAACTTCCAGAGCTTTAATTTTTCCAGATGTTAAGTAGTGCCTTCTTATTTTTTCCAACCCAGGTGGAAGAGTGACTTCAGAAAAAGAGACAAAGAAAAACATTAAATTTGTAAGGGATGGTTGGCATAAAGACCACCACATAGTTGAATGTTCAGATACCGGTGTGCTGAAACACAAGCAGCGTTAATTTGCATGAACTGAAGTCAGAGAGTTTATCTGGGCCGTAAAAATAAAATATGTTTTATACATTTTAAAACATGTTTATATGTTTTTATAATAAAAATGTTGTGTCTTCAGATGTTTCCAGGCTGGATTGTAACGAATGCTGAGTTTGCCTTCAACAACAGCCGTGCTTGTAAATGGTGAGGATGAGCAGGAGGAGACCTGGGATCCTCGGGTTCATTCACATGAGGAGAGCCCTGGGGTGGTCTTTCACTGGGGAGTCACGAAAGCCTGAAGCCAGCTGCCTGTGTCAGTGTTTTGTGCTGTTGGCTGCAGCACGTATAGCCTCGACTCAGTTTCTCTCTTGTTGCCACCAAAGCCTGAGGTTTACCAGAGAGGCCTTGGGACAGTGTAGGCAAAACCAGTGATGCCCAATCCTTCCTTCTGGCAAACTGATGCGTCGCTGTAGAAACTGCTTCATCGAGTATTTAGCATGGACATCTGTAAGCTGCACACCCCTGTCTCTGAGTGCAGGAAGATCCACAAGCTCAGCCTGCGATCACTCTGGTCAAGATTTACATGAGGCTGTCTGAGCGCAGAGCAGGCTCTGCAGCCTGTTCCGGCCAGGAATCAAGCACCTAGACTTTAAGTGAAGTGGGATTTTTGTAACAAGACAAAGTCAAGACTGAAATAGTTTGCAGGAGAGAGTGCCAGCTGGGTTTATACTTTGCGAGAAGGCTCTGTCGTAACGATGAACTTTGCAGACCTCTTCTTGCTCTTCTTCCCATATTTAGCTCCATGAGATTGGAGTGGGGGAAGCCCGTGCTGTGTGCTCTGATGTTGGACCATGATGGGACGTGATGGAGAGATCTCCAGCAGGGTTTTCCTCTTATGGCTCCTCCAGCCAGATGGCTTCAATCTACTGACCAATTCTCTGTGCTTTGTGTGAGGTCTGTATGCAATTTAAATGGAGCCTGTTCTCAGCTAGTTTTGCCTTTTCTTTGCCCCCCTCCCCCACACGCACAT